ATAAAAATAATAGAAGAAAATATAAAGCCATTAATCTAGAGATCAGATTAATCAAATGCAAGGTAAAAGATATCATTCAGAAAATTATTCAGAAAGCAATGAGAGAGAACCACAAAATATATTCTGCATTTTTGATGAATACTAAATGCCTTCTCTGCCATAAGAAAATAGCAAATTATTAAAATGCAAGCCTTTAGAATACAGGAGAAACATTTCTATTTTGTGCATCTTTATTTTCACTCCCATACTTGTTCACTATATGACTATTTCTCTAAATTGTTCCCTCAAACACAAACAGGATGTGAATTATTTATGAACTCTACAGACTTTCAAAAAAATGTTTTGGTATCAAAAATTTGTAAACTAAAAGAATGCTAAGGGTAAATACTGACTTATTTGTATTTCTGGCTTTTAGTAGAAAACAATAGAGCACTGAGAACTGAGAGCAGAATAGTGGAGACCAAGATACTTGTAAATTTAAGCTAACATTGGGACTATTGAACAATTTAGATGTCCAGATCTTTTAAATAATGTGTATATGTCCTAGTATTTCTGTTCACTTTGTTTAAAATTTGATCAAGTTGAAAGTTTGGAATGTCTTCAGAGTAAAATAATATGACCATGAACACTTGTCTTCTGGATTATTCAGAGTTAAACAAAAAAACCACACTGAAATGAACATTTGGTAGAGGATTACAATTACATGCATTATTTCCTAGGCCATTTTAAGGATCTACTGTTGGAGACATTATGATAATAAAATTATTATATGTAAGTTGAACCCCTTCTAGCTGGGCTAAGTAGAATGTTTCATATTAACAGAGTAGGCGAAAGCCTCATTTAGTTGGTATCACTGAGAAAGGAACTATTTGACAAAGTAAATTCTCCAGGTAACTAGACCTAACCCCAATTTTAAAAATATTGGTCATTTACTGTCTAATGATAGGCATTAGACAATTTAATAATTGTTACATTTTCCTACCTTAAAAAATAAAACATGCAGAATACAATCCAACATTTTCTTGATGATTTTAGTGTCTACTTCAAAACTTTCTTACTTGATAACTCTAATTCTGCAATCTTGTCCTTCACTTTTACCAAAGGAAAAAAAAAAACAAAACACTGCCAGTATCTCTAAATGTCACAATACTGCAACATAGTTTTAATATCACCATAGTAAAAAGAGTGTGGCTAAGAGAGGTGAAGTAGTTAAATCATACAGGGCAATGTGGCTTCCCTCACCACTACTCATTGTGGAGCAGTTGTTTTCAAACTTGAGGATGCATCAAAGCCACTGGAGGGCTTATTAAAACACAGTTTGGTAGACCCCACCCCCAGAGTTTAACATTCAGTTGGTGTGATGTGAGGCCCAGTAATCTGCATTTCAAACAAGTTCCCAGGTAGTGCTGGTTCCATACTGTTGGGGTTCATACTTGAGAATCACTGGGCTAATCCACTGGATTTTCCCTACTTATTTGTCTTCTCTATAGCATCTGAGCAAGTTAAAACTTCCTCCTTTTTGAAGTTGGAATCAATTTTTAATAGCGTTATTTAGCCAGGTTTGGAGACAACCGCTAAATATCAGTGTTTCCAGGGGTTCCAGCACTAGCACTCTTGAGTTATCCTTGGCCAGTGCCATTCTCTTGCCTTTGGCTTCAACAACCTAAATAAGTAGTTTTCAAAGTTTCTTCTTAGACTCTAAGAAGATTAAAGGTGCCAAGAAACTTTGGGAACATGATTGTCCCACTTCCTCACCCCCTAAATTAGCTCTATATCCTATATTCCTTGTCTCAATTGACAGCACCTTCATTAACCTAGTTGCATGAATCAGAATCATTCTGGACCCCCCCACTTTTTTGGTACCCCTCACCATTCGGTCAGTCATTAAGTTGCATCAATTTTACCTCCCAAATAGCTCGTAAGCCTAGTACTTTCTGTCAACCTCCACTGCCAGAGAGTGCCTAATTCACTTGTCTGAGTTCCAAAAGTCTTCCTAATGGGTTTCTAGTTTTGAACCCTCCAATCTGTTCTCCACAATGCAGTCATAGTAATCTTTCCAAAACAAATTTATAATTATGTCATTCTCTCTTAAAAATCCTTCGGTGCTTCCTCACTGCTTTTAGGATAAAATCCAAACTCCTTGACATGACTAGAGGTTCTTCATGCTCTGGTCCTGTGCCCTTTCCAGCCTCATCTCTTACCCCTGCCTGCTTTTATTTCTGCACTCTAGCTATGCAAACTATCTTCAAATTCCAGAACAATATGTTCACTCTTGACTCCATAACCAGGTACAATCTCCTCTGTCTCCTGTGTATCGTGCCCCCTCTTTTGGATGGCTACTTCACAACACAGAGCAAGTGACACTTCAGGAAGTTCTCCCTGCTTCCCTGCCACCAGTTTGGGTGGGCTACTCCTATTATTTTCATAATGCGTTCATCTATCTGTCACAGACTTCATTATAACCAATGATTTATTTTTCAATCTATTTCTTCCTCTAATACCTCCCCCCAACAATCTTACACATAGTACATTCTAGAGGCAGAATGGTTTAGTGGAAAAGGCACAGAACTGTACTTGAGTTCAAGTCCCACCTCTGCCTCTCATTAGCTCTACGATGTTAGCCAAGGAGCAAAGCCAAATAAAACTACAGTGCAGAAGGAGAGGAATTTATGTAATTACTTTGTGACTTTGAACATACGGTTTTACTTTTCTGGTCTGTCACTTCATTTGTACAACAGGTGTTGGACTAAATGATCTCCAAAGTGCCTTTCGACTCTAAGAATTTACGGCTATAAATATCAGCAGCATCCTGGATAACAGAAATTTTACAGGTCTGTGAGCATCATGCAGATATAAATATTTGAAGCTGCAGAATTACAGTAAATTGTCAGGTTACTTAATTGCATGGATTCTTTTCAAAGTCTAATAAGATTTTTCAGATTTCATTTTATTTCCTCTAGAAAGAATAAAAAAAACTGCTAAGTAGCAGTAAAAATATAACTCCCTTCTTTAAATCTGATTTCAAGAGAAACTTTTTATTATGTTATTCTTCCTGAATTGTAATCAATTCATGTGGTTTCACTCCTGTGTATTCATACAATAGTCTACCTCTGAAGAGGGAATTCTTACAAAGCATCACCATTGATTATTGTCTCTGTAAGGCAGAGAGCAAACAGTAACTTATGCTCACAACTGCGAGAAATAATACATTATGCTCAAGATAAATACAAATAATACTTATGGCTCTTTAAATAAGAAAAGAAAAGAAAGTCTAACCTTGAACAGTAACAGCTGATTCTTTCTCTGCTTTCAAGGCCTCTTTCTCCATTTAAGGCCTTGAAATAGGCAGCAAAGTATGCAGGGGAAATTTTTTGTATATTTCAGTGAAAATTGTAAAAAGGGGAAACTATGTATGTAAATGCATTATGACTGATTGCCTTGAATGTACCAACTAGATATCTTTTAATTCTTAATTAATGGTAATAATAATGATATTATTTGTAGCATATTTTATTTTATAGAACATGTTTCTGAGCCTCATAATAATTCTGTGAGATAGTCAGGGAGGATATTATGAAGAAACTGAGGTGTGTGAATATGCCAAGTAACAGAGTTTTAAAATGTCAGAATTGGAATATTATCATACTAATCTATATATCACCAGAATCTAGTATTTAGTGGATATTTAATAAACATGTGGCAAACGAATTAATCTAAATTTTCTGGTTCCTAGATTCCAGTGTTTTCCTTTTATTAGCAGTTTTACTAATTTTCCTCCAATTGGTAGGATAGGTTTATAGCTGAGTCAAATAAAATTATTAACCCCAAACTAAGAATGTTACTTAATTGATACAATGTAGGTATCCAGACTTTCTGGATTGAAAACATAAGCAGGGCTTCGTTACTTTACTATCTTTTCACCTACGCATTTCATAGGAATATATGTAGGAATATATATAGGCAAAGGAATATTCAAAGGAATATATATAGGCAAAGAAAAAAACCTATAAAAAAATAACTATTAACTACCTGTGGTGCAAGAAGAGGTAGCCTAATATAAGCCAAAAGTTTACTGAGATCTTTCCGTCTCTGTTCCAAATCGTGACGGACCCAAGTAAGAAGTGCATTCAATATTGTCTCCTCATTAGGAATGTTCATGTCATCACTGGCCAAGAGCTTTGCAATTTCGCTGGCTGGTAATAATACAAATTCCTGGTTTCTGATTACTTCCATAAAATGCTCCTAGAGGGAAGAAATAGCAGATAAACAATATTGTTTCTTCTGGCCATCACAGTTTATTTAAAAGAAACTAATGGTTTTTTGTATTAGATGCCAAAACATAATTTATATTTAAGACCTTAGAATGTATTTCCACCTGCTGGGAAAGAAACGCAGCAGAAAAAACATTTAAACTGCAATTATGTTGATAAACATATATAAGTAGAATTAAGGTGTTGTATCACTGATTACATTTTTAAAACGGACCTGAGACATTTAGGTACCATTCTGCCTAAGCAAGAAAACAGTGTTAGCAAGTCTTTTGAAGGAAGATAGAAAAAAATGAATTAGACACTAAGATGTCTGATACTCTATCATCAGAAGTTAGTTTGGATTTGTGGTTGCTCAAGAATTTGGCCAACAGTGGAGCCAAATGCCTGGATGAACTTGAAGTTATTTCTATTACCCAGAAATGCGCTCCAGGCTGGCTAGATTTCCCAAGACCACTCTAGACCACAGAAGTCTTCCCAGACCCTGCCCAGAGAAAGTATTGGTCCTCAGGGCTATCTTAGAACCAAATTGGCCTTTGAGACTATTATAATGTTATTTATAAGACCATCCAGAATTTTAGGTCCATTTTGAAATCTGTAATCTCTTCTAATTTGATTTCTTTATGTAATCTCTTCTAATTTGATTTCTTTACAAAGTTCTTTTGGTCTCATAGGAAAAAGAACCAAAGCAAAGTGCTGACCTAGAATGTACTGGGACCAGAACCTTACACTGAAGATGACTCGGTCCTGGACTCACGCTAGAATCAAGCTCTCTATAATTTGAAATGGGAGCTAGAAATGCCTTTGGGTGTGAGGTGACCTTTATAAGGTATTACACGAAATAATCTGGAAAGAATGAAAGTATACTCTCCGATTTGAATGGTCACAAATCTTAATGTATGGATAGTTGACATAGTTATAACACAAATGCAAATGGTAGACATATTGTCCCTTAATGTTTTTCTTATCCTTCCTAAAGTACTGTCACTGTCTCAGCATGCAGAGTTGTAGTAATGTGGCTAAGGCTGTTTAAATTAGGGCTGGAGATAAGGACTATCCATAACTATCCTCCATATTAGAATGAGAATTACATTTTCTATATAGCCTGTGGTAACCTGAGTGAGATACTGATCTAAAATATATCTTGGGTTGACATTCCTTTCAGCAGAAATTCTTAAGAGGAAAACCATTCATGAATAATTAACTAAATTCAATTGCTTCAATTTATCATGATTTGTTAAAAGATGCCCAAATGAGTCTATTTTAAATGACTGATTATCATTTTCAGAAACATATTTTAATAAAACCTCAGTGCTGGAATGGCTTTAAGCAAACTGTTCTACTCAATTGTATACTTATATTATAAAATGATTTGGTAACACATAGCAAGAACCATAAAAATGTTGAAACTCTCAACCCAGTTATCCTACTTGTAATTTAAACCTTAATAAATAATTCATAAGCAGAACACAAAACTGAATACCCAACAATGCTTCTCTGTATTATTATTTATAATGGTAAAAAGTGGGAAATATCCTAAATGTTCAGCTATAGGGAATGTGTATTAAAAAGGCATTAAAAACTTCAAGGAAAAAGATCACACAGCTACATGGAAAGATATTTATTATACAATGTTAGGTGAGACTCTGAAGAAACCAAAATAATATACATTTCTAATTATTTAAAGGTATAGTATATAGTATAATCAACATAGTTATACAATACTAGTGCAACTATTGCTATACTTTCGAATGGTATTAATTGCATTTCATTAGTAAGAAAAGGACTGTTATATAAATATTCGTTTGACAAGTTATTTGTTGATATATTTGAGAACAATGCACATTCCACTCTAGTATAATTTATATTAAGTGAAAATTGAGTTTTCAACAATTTATGGAATACTACCCAACTCAAGATTCAACACAAAGTGTTTTTCAAAAATATTAATTTGGTTTTGAAGCAGCTAATTTAGCAGAATTCAATGTTTTTATAAGTTTTCTAGATTGAGAAACAATTTTAAAGTTTGAAATTAAGTGTTTATATTTGTTTCATAAATTGATAATGGCATTAAATAGTTATAATGATATAACCAGTGTTTTTAGAGGCTAAACATCTTGCTCCAGGTCATGTTCAGTGGCAGTTAGAATGAGAAAAAAGGTCTCCAGATTCCACAATCCTGAGAAGGAACTCATCCTTTCCTACTCGGATGCATGCAGGATGGGTGAACACTCCCAGCACATGCGCCATTTACTGACTGACCTCGCTGGTGTGGCACTATGCTTACTTCATATTTTACTACCATTCTGTGATACAAACAATTATCATGCTACCAAACACTTGCTAGCATTGTGCCCTTTCCCCCTTTGAAATAGTTTTTAAGCAAATGAAGTTACTGAGGGATTTATTTAAATTGAAGATTGAATTTTGCTATACATTCTCATTCAGTTCCCATAGCAACAATTCAAATCAGATAATCTGCCTCTAAATTACTTATTGTTATTAGAATTCAATTTCATGTCTCTGTTAAAACTGAATAACATAAAACAATGGCCTTGAGAAAAAAAAACCTACCCCAACTAATTGGCTATGAAAATAGGCTTAAAAACATCTAACTAATTTAAATTTAATTTATGTGTAAGCCATAAAGCGGCAAATTGTGCCTCTACTGTAAACAACATGAGTGACCTAAATGCATACGAATGTTTTCACGTGAATAAAACATCTTCCTGGGAAAAAGATATTACTCAAATTATGAACTTAATTATGAAAGAAAAAATATTTATTTTATTAATATTTATTTATATTCATCTTGTTCCAAAAATATTTGAAACTGCAGGTATGAGGTTAAAATGAGAAATCTATAAAGAATGATAAAGACTGAGAAGGGAAAACCTTTCAATGGACTTAATTTTCAAAATGTTGACCTAGTACCATGCTAGATCTGTATATTTTTGTTCTGTTGCACAATCTCTTATTTTTTCAGTTGAGGCCCTAGGACGATCATAAACAAGAAACACTCCTGAAAGTGATTACACCACAGGGAGAAAACCAATCATAAAGGGTGTGGTTTCATGAGTGCTTTTGTTCCTTCACATAAACTGTTCCTTCACAAACTACTGTGTTGAATGAAGTAAATCTATACAATGATGATGATGACAATGAGATGATATTCATTGACTAGGTATATGACGTGCCAATCACTGTTCTGAGTGTTAAATTTCTATTAATTCACTTACTCCTCATATCAAGCTTACGAAGTAGGTGGAATTAATCTTACCAATAGTTTGTAAATACCTATGTTTACGACTTTTCTAAATCTCCATTTCTCTAATGAAAGATTCCTACAGCACCATCAATCTCTTCATATCCCAACAAACTCAATGGAAGGATGGAGGAAAGGGTAGATCAAATAACATTTCCTAAAAGTTGATAAAATCAGTAATATGGATATCTGTACATGTATGTGAATGTTCACATTCTTTCTTCTCTTAGAGACCATATTATCTTAGTTTAAGCATTTAAAACAACAGTCTTTAATCACTGTCCATAATGTGGCAACATGCTCATTCCTTAAAAATCCACATACTCTCCCTTCCCCACACCCCTCAACTATTAAAACCATGAAGGCTGGTCCAAACAATAAGCCCTCAATATGCCCTTATTTTCTTGCTATCCTAGACCAATCTGTATTCCACTGTCCTTCAGGCTACTGGATCAGAACCTCCTCTATCATCTATCTTGAGTACATAATTTGCTACAATTAATAACATCATTCAACATGGCTACAAATACTTCTTACATATGATCAGATTTATCCTTAATAAAAAGTCTCCCATTCAACCTCTACCAATATGCTACAACCACTGTCACCAATTTCCATCAGTGAATATGTGAACAATTCTGAAATTTATCCATGTGCTATAAGGCAAAATGTTTGGAGAAGTCATGCTTTAAAAAGCAGCAGATCTGAAAATCTCAAATGGAACAGTTCTGGGCCACTGTTCCGCTTCCTAATGACTGTAATAACTTAGGACTTGACTCACATATCCAGGAGAAGTACTACTTGGTGTTTTTGCCTCGTAACTCAATGAAAATATGACACACTAGACAGTGAACTTGAACCTCAAGACATGCGGCAGAGCCATGGGAAAACGGCAACATGAAGATAAGCCTGCAACAATGAGGAATAAGGCAGAGAGGAGATGCCTTCCTGCTTTTCAAATAATACATACCATAGTGTAATTGTGAGCCACTTTATGCAAATCTGTACAACCTTGGGCGTCAGCAAAAGAACGGATTCCCAGACAGTTGGATGGGTGAAGCTGTTTCATCAAAAACTTACAGCATGCTTCTACAACCTGCGAAAGCTGAAGAAGGCAAGCTGTAGATAACAGGCACTCAATATTATCTTCTTTTAATTCAAGGCGGCCTTCATGAGAAGAAGAAATTCCATTAGCTATGGGAACTACATTAACCCTATTTTATAAAATAACTGATGTTAACAGTAATATTTCTAAATAAGAGCTCATTACATGTATTACAGACCTAGATGGTTTAAGATATTCAAATAAGAAAAACAAGTATTAAATGTGGAAAAAATTTATTATCTCTTTGCAATCTCTACTAAAAAAAACTATGATAAAAACTAAAATAAAAAACTATAAAATAATGGCTTATTTTCAGAATTTTAAAATGATGCATTAATTAGTAATTTACATGTACTATATACCTGTATAATTTTCAAATTTTAAATGTAAAATTTTGACATTACATAATTCATCTAATTATTAATATTTTAAAATATTATTCAACAGCTTTATTATGATCATTTTAAAGGTTTTATTTGATATGGAGATTTTAACCTGTACAGGTATTGCCAGAGGTAGTGATAACAACAGCAGAATTAACTGTTAGCTATGGCATGATTTACCAGAAGCAGAAATCTGAAATCTAATAATATAATATAAATCTAAGAGGTTTTAATTTGCATTTTCAGGCTTATTACCTGTATACGCATACTGAATCAAGGACCATAATGAATTCGGTTCTACACCTTCCATTTTTATTTCTTCTTGTCTTGCTTCTCTGACATCATTAGTAAACATGGCAGCAAAATAATCTGACACAGACGAGAGCACCAATCTGAGAACACATTAGAAAAAAGAATCAACGACCACATTAAAGTTCATGTTCATTAATAAATGCTGCTGTTTCTTCTTTTTTTTTAAATTTATTACCCATGGAAAGTGCATGGTACTGGAAGTGCATCTTAAGTTTGACAAATTGCTTTATGGTCTACTTCTTTCCTTTGAATAATAAATTACCATTCCTGAAAATTTTCTGCTGAGGTAAATGGTTTACCTGCTCGCTATTCAAATATTGCTTTATAACATCCAGAAAACAAGCTACAAGCCCATAGCATTAAATCAACTATATACAAAAAGGAAAAAATGTAAAGGTTATTTTCTGTTTATCATTTTTGAAAATAACCTATTTTTTAAAAATTTAATCATAGGAGTAGTAAATATATGAGACACATTTGAAAATTGTTTCAGCAAGTTATTTTTAACTTTTATGATAATTTTAATATTATTTTTGTATTTTTTTATGTATTTGTTACAACACTCTAAAACTACAATATTTTGTTATAATATGTATTAGCTATGTCTCTTCAGATTTTTGATAGTCACATAAAAATAAAGTTATAAATATATATATTTGAAACATGCATGTTTTCACTTGATAATGTCTTGAAGATATTTCCATGTCAGCATACTTATATACACTTTATTCATTTTTTTAAAGAAATAAAAATTATAATGCAGATAACAACTGAAGCTCCCTTTGTGTCCTTCTCTAGTTCCGTTCTCCTCCCTTCCTAGGAATAGCACTGCTGAGTCATAAGATTTGCCAAATTGCTCTCCAAAGTCCTGTACCAATTTAGACCCCCACAATAGTGTCAGATGTTAAAATTTTGGGCCATCTGCAGTGTTAAATAGTATCTCATTGTTTTAATTTTTGTTCATCTGATTGCTAGTGAAGTTTTTCAAATGTTTATTGGCCATTCAGATTCCTTCTTCAGAGAATTGTCTATTTATTCATTCATTCATGTATTCATTCACTGAACAAATAGTGACATGTGCCCAGTAAGTACTGGCACTGTTCCAGATACTTGAGGTACATCAGGGTACAAAATGGACAAAAGACCCCTTCTCTCATGGAGTTTTACATTTAGAGGGTAGGGAAGACAAAGAGTGAACAGTAGAAGTAAATTCTATAGTAAATAAAAGGTGGTAAGTCCTATGCAGAAAAAAGTAGGGTAAAGGCAAATGGGGAAAGGACGGTGAGTTTAAACAGGTTGTCTCTTTGGAAGGTGACATTTGGGCAAAGATTTGAAGGAGATGCAGGATTTGGTCATGCAGGTATCTGGGAATAGCTTTCGGGCAGGAGTAGCTGGTGCAGAAGTCTAAATGCAAGGGCAGCATGCCTGGCACATGTAAGGAACTACAAGAGGGAGTGGGTGGCTTGTGCACAGTGAGCAAGGAGAGCTGTTCTGTTCTCTTAGGACAGAACGTCAGGACAGAATGCCAGGCTGGATCGTACCGGCCACTGCATATACTTTGGCTTTCGCACACAGTGACACAGGGCGTCAATGGAAGATTTGATCAGAGGAGCGACTGAATCTGAGTTCCTTTTTAAAGGATCACTTAGGTCTCTGTGTTAAAAACAGAATGTAGGGGAAAGAGTAGATGCAGGGAGACCAGTTAGGAGGCTTTTGCATTAGTAATCTAAGAGAGATGGTGATGGCAGGTAAGGTAATCAGTTAAGTTTTGGCAATACAGAATTTGAGATGCCTCTATGAAATTCAGGTTGAAATCTTTTCTTCTTCTTTTTTTTTTTTGAGACAGAGTCTCACTCTCTTGCTCTGGCTAGAGTGAGTGCCGTGGCATCAGCCTAGCTCACAGCAACCTCAAACTCCTGGGCTCAAGCGATCCTTCTGCCTCAGCCTCCCAAGTAGCTGGGACTACAGGCATGCGCCACCATGCCCGGCTTATTTTTTCTATATATTTTTAGTTGTCCGATTAATTTCTATTTTTAGTGGAGACAGGGTCTCGCTCTTGCTCAGGCTGGTCTTGAGCTCCTGAGCTCAAATGATCCTCCCACCTCGGCCTTTCAGAGTGTTAGGATTACAGGCTTGAGCCACTGAAATATCTTTTGTAACAAACCTAGGCTCATAACATGGACTTTGGGTCACAGTATATAGCAGTATCTCAATAAATGTATGCTAATTGAGTCATTGAAAATAGTAATATCAAGCCCATTCTTCCTAATGATTTTACTCACACTTTGGAGGGTTTAAAAAAAAAACAAACAAAAAAAACCTTTGGGATGAGTGTTAATTAGTTTTGAAGGGCATGAAAAAACCTTTGAGAATCATAGTGGTGATTAACAATGAACAATTGAATATACAATTCTTAGAAGAAAATGAATTATTCTTTATTAAGAAGCTCTTTTCTTTTTCTTACTTCAAGAAATAATACATCATTTGTGACAAAGGCTTTTTTCCCCCAACACTGCTTTTTATACTTCCTGGAGATCAGCAAACAGAAGTTGGGATAGATGTGGCTATTTCAAAATTCTTAAGACTTTTTGCTACTCCATTTCACCAGCTTTTTTGCTTCAACATACCCACAAGCTCTAATTTCCATTGAGTTTATTTAAAGTATTTAACAGGTAGAACATGGTATGAAAGCTGCTTGTAGTAGCTAAAATCTATACCAAACAATACTGATTTATCTGAGGCTGAGGTGTTTTGTTTTTGTGCTTCTACAGAGGGAAAATTGCCCTTTTAAGTTAATTTAATGTGTAATAATTTCATATACACTGTTTTTCTGGTGGAAATGCCATGAAATATACCCCTTCCCCAAAACATAATAGACAACTGCAGTAAGTTACCTCAACGCACGTAGCTAAATTATCAAAGAACTATTCCACACATACAGAGATGTTGAAAACAGCTACCTGTGAGCTGGAATTCTGCGATCACCAGCAACTAAAATTACATCACACAACTGTTTATGTCTCAAATAGTTTTCCATTTTTTTAAATGTTTGCTCGGCATGATTAAGGGCTTGGAAAAATTCATCTGATGAACATGGCTCCATAGTATGGCAGGATGATAATGTCTGGCTACTATTGGAAGTCCTGAAAAGAAAGAAAACATACATTTGAATTATCCCTATCACTTTAAAAAGATCTTTCCTACTAAGTCCTATTAAAGCCTTCAAATGTAATAGAAGAAATCAATGCTACCAAATCAATATTTATGTTTAACATTCATCATTTTTGTCTTTTAAAACCAATGATGGCTCAAGTCATATGTGAACACTGCAAGTGAATGTAACTTCTGTTAGTTAATAGCTACACATACTCTTTGTAGTACCTGTTTTTCTCTGTTAAACCCAACAACTCTGCTGAAAAAGAGCCAAGCTATATTCATATTGATAACCATATCTCCTAACATTATATTTAAGAGCATAAGAGATCATTCTATGAGTAAAAAGGGAAGGGTTTGGTGTAATTCTTGATGGGATGGGGTATATGTTGTTTCATTCTATTTTCATCTTTGAAGGTAGGAAGGCAATTAAACTACTTTAGAGATATACATCCAAGCCATCATTTACTTAAAAAATGGCCTACGTTCCATAGCTCATTTGCAAAATAGACTGTCATAAAAAGTGTTATAAATAATTTTTTTAATTCTCTGGCCAGTTCTCAAAAGTCTAGGTAACCTGTAACTTTTATTACAGGTTAAAGCAACTTAATAGCCTACTCCAGGTATCTAAAAAATTACTGGAAATTCCCAACTTATAATATGAAGTGTATGAGTTCTGTTTTCATCTGATTTACTGACGGAAATTGTGAAAAAGTAAAAAGGTTAGTACTAAGAATGAAGTCCTGAGTCCACACCCCTCCCCACCTCCAACCCCAAATCACCTCTCCAGGATCACTTAAATCAAGTCATCAACATCCATTGGTTATGCAATTAAATACAAAACCACTGACTGTGCCATAATTTAGTTCTCATTTGTCATCACATCTTCTTTTAAGGATATTGTGATTCTGACAAATGCTTGTTCAATCAAGCCTCACTATATTTTAAGAGAATCTTCTTAATATAACTATCTAATAACCTTATCAAAAAAGAAAAGGTCATTGGATCTCTTAAAGTAAAGGCATTTGATATTAAGGAGATTAAGTGCCTTGCCAAGAGTCATAGAGGCTGTTCATGGCAGAGACAGGGCTATCGTAGAGACTGCCGTGTGTTTACCAAAACCCCTTCTCCTTCTCCCCTGAGAATATAGCTAGACTACATTTCCCAGCTACTCTTGCAATTAGCTGTTGTCTTATGATGGAATGTGACATCACACAGTTCACCTTAAAGTGGCTAAGAACAGGTATGGCTTTCCCACACTCTCTTTCCCCATCTACAGGTTGAATGGAGAAGACTGAGGACTCAGATGAAGAAAGAAGTAAAATACATAAAAGATCACTCAAGCAAGAACATTCACATGGAACTGAAATTTATCTGTTTTATTCCTACTTCAATCTTCCCAGTCCTATGCATTTTCAGTGTCATAGAAATATGGGCACTAAGTAAATGCTCTTGGAAAATAATTGTCAATAATGACAACAGAAGTGAATGGATGTGTTGTACACTATGAATATTATTGGTGTAATGACTTGGAGAACTCAGTATAATATACTTAACTTCACATTTAAGGTCATTATTATAAAAATGTATTGAGTAATCTGTAATTTTATATGTTATTTATATAAATAAATGAGAATTCAAAACTATTTTAAAATCTAGGTGAAAGTATAACATAAGCCAAAAACTAATGGTGACAAAAACATTTTTCAATAAAATGAAGTTTTACACTGTCAGAATACTGACAAATGATTATAAGAACATTAGTGATCTAGGGATGAGAGAAAATTACAGTATCTAATTTTTATAAGCCATAAAGTCTTTCAAAGCACAAGGTAAGGTAAATAAATCAAATACTTCTTTCTTAGGGTTCCTATATTTTGCATCACATTTTAAAATTACCTTTCATACTACTTCATATTAAATTATCATTAATGACTAAATAGTAAGTTAACTGAATGTTTCTTGAGTGATTGCCATCATCTAAACATAAATGCTAATCCATGTTAAATTGATTTTACATTGTTATTACAGGTGACTTGTGATGTTGGTATAAGCCCAATAGGTAGGCCACCTCTTTTCCTGTCAAGAACTTTCAGGGTACTTTGGTTCAGATCATAAAACAAATCAGGGTAACCTAGGAAGCATTTCGGGGCCTCATTCCCTGAGACTGATTCACTAGATCTGAGATGAGGCTTGAACATCGTGTTTTTTAAATAATTTTTATTTTTACCACTCTACAATAGATACATGTAACAGAATTCAACTTGTGCACCCTAAATCTATTAAAATTTTTTAAAAAGGAAAAAGTTATTTTTAACTGACAAATAATAATTGTATATATTTAGAGGGTACAATGTGATGTTTTGGTACCTGTATACATTGTGGACTACCCAAATCAGGCTAATTAGCATATCTATCACCTCAAATATTTCTCATTTCTCATTTAAAACTCTCTTTTAGCTATTTTGAAATATCCATTATTAACTACAGACACTGTGCAATAGTACACTAAGACTTACTCCTCCTGCGTAACTGCACCTACTGACCTACATCTGTCTGTCCACCCCCACCTCCAGTCTTTGGTAAGCACCATTCTACTTTCTACTTCAAAGAGTGTGACTTTTTTTCAGATTTCGAATACAGTATAAGTGAGATCATACTGTTGAGCACTGTATTTTTTAAAAGCCCTAGATGTGATCCTAACATGCATCACAGGCTGAAGACCACAGGTATATACTTCAGTCAAGAGATAGATATATTACAAAAATGAGCATGTGATGAACTTATAGTTCAAAACACTGACTTACACAATAAATACTTCATTTCAAATATATGTAAACTGAACTTCCTTGAATACTTTAAATGAACTATTAGAACTCAATGGAATATCTGTTATTTTCAAAATGAGCATAAAAGTAAAACATCAAAATTGTTTAAACAGCTAGGCATAGTGGCTCATGCCTGTAATCCCGGTACTTTGGGAGGTTGAAGCAGAAGGATCACGAGGCCAGGAGTTTGAGACCAGCCTGGGCAACATAGCAAGCCCTCTCTAACAAAAAAAAAAAAATTTGTTTATATGGTCATCCCTAGGTATCCTCAAGGGATTGGTTCCAGGATCCCTGTGGATACCAAAATCCATGGATGTTCAAGTCCCTTATATAAAATGGCATAGTACAGTATTTGCATATAACCTATACAAGTCCTCCCACATACTTTAAATCTTTAGATTATTTATAAGACCTAATACAATGTAAATGCTATGTAAATAGCTGTTATACTATATTGATTTTTATTTGTATTTTTTATTATATTGTTATTTGTTATTTATTTTTCAAATATTTTTGATCCCCAGTTGGTTGAATCTGCAGATATGGAAGGCCTACTGTATGCATATACATTAACAAAAAATGCTTCTAAAATAACATTTGAAACTTCTTTATTTGCTTTCAGGTCTTCAACTGCCATCACATGTTAAATGAACATGTTATTTTAATGTGACAATTAATTCACTGAGATTTCTGGGTAATCACTTCTACTGTTCCTTATGAATGATCAAAAGAAGTGCACAAGCTTCTGATTGGTATCCTACTGAAAAGTATGGCCATCATTCACAAAGCAGCATGAAAGAGGAAGGAACAGCACTACTCAATAGACTTGAAGAGCTGCAAAGCCTTCTACCAATTCTTGTTTTTCTTTTTGTTTTAAACCCTAGGCACACTGTACATACAATGAATTTACCTTAAAGCAAAAGAATTTACTGTACATCCATACAACTATAGGACCTTAGGCATTGAAGCAATCATATACAGAGTTTTTATGTCTAGAAGGTATCTATCCAGTAATTTAACTCAACTTCATTTTGCAGATGAGAAAATTTGAGACCCCAAATGACCAAACTGACCAACAAAGTGACACATAGGCAGCTGGTTGGAAAGCCAGGATCAGAAGGTACTCAGACTTGGTAAAATCATCCACAAATGGGGATTCTTGTTCATCTTTACACTAAGGCATCAGTGAGCACAAGGACTAAGGGTATGAAGGGAGAGTGATGGTAGAATGTGAATGATAATCCAATAGGAAAAAAACAACATTAGAATTAAGGATCTCAGACCAAAGCCCACTGCTGGGTGACTGCTACTTAGCTAGGTATAAGAGAGCAAGAGTTTCTTAGGTTTCCATGGGACAGAGATCCCTGACTAATTAAACTGCTTTTAATACTCTAGCTCTGTGTAACTGACAATATTAATACTTCCTTACTCTTTCTTTTCCTATTACTTGCTTTAGTTTGGAGGACTGAATTGGAGAGGTATTGGTGAGTGAAGTTTCCAGAGCTGTGCTTTCCAATACAGTAGCCACTAACCCCATGAGACTATTTTAATTAAATGAAATTTAAAATTCAGTTCTTCAGTTGGACTAGTCATATTTCAAATGTTCTGTATTTCAAATGTTCTATATTAGTTGGACTAGTGCAGAAAATTCTATTACACACAGTGCTGGTCCAGACCTGGGTTCAACCCTACAGACCTGGGTTCAACTCCCACTCTGCCACTCACTGTGTATCACTCTGGACAAGTTATTTAACTTTTCTAAGCCTTACCTTCTTCAACAGCAAAACAAGAATAAGTAATGCATAGTATTTCCATTTAGGGGAATCTCTCAAGGGAGGATTATTAAATGAAATAATGTGTACACAGCTCTAGCACAGAGAAAGTGCACAATCAAGGTAAGCTACTGTTAGTAGAACCTGCCTTTCAGTGGCCAATGGGAAGGCCTGCAATCTCAGCCTTTTGTTTTTATACAATGTTATTTGATTTTTTTTTAAATGACTCCCAGCATTATTAATTTTTACAACTAAATTTCATATTTCCCATTTAAAATATCCTTTAGTAAACCCAGTAGACATCCTAACCAATACAAGCAACTGGGAATAGGCCATTTCTAAAGCATTTAAAATATATTTCTCTCTGATTTCTGCTTGATCTTTTACTTA